TTGAAACAATAGGGACAAAAATAAAAGGTACTATTTTAAACATTTTAAAGTTGTTTGAGGCTGGGAATAGAGGGCAGCAGCACAGCACCTGGCAGGTCCAAAGTCCTGAGTTTGATTCTTGGTACCAAAAAGCAAAAATGAATAAATAAAAAATAAAGTTGTCTGCAGTCTATTCCCTGGGTCGGACCTAACAGGAGTGGTCTTAGCCTGCTCTTGCTTGTTTGGGGCTGGGATCTATATTGTGATTCTGGACCTTCTTCTGAGCATTGTAACTGGTTTTAAACTGCTTAACATTGTATCTGACTATTGGGAAGTACATTTAGGAACAGAACATTAAAATCTAACATATTTGTCTTCCCAAGTAGGAAGCTCTGCTTCTGGAATGAGAAGAATTTTTTTTCTGGCCAAAAAACAAATTCACTGTCATTTTTTTTCCCCCCCTTTCATTTAAATAGCATAAATCTGGTCTTCTGTTTCTCTTCCCAGAGCTAAGCTTGTTAGTTTGACAGATTCATGTTATATTAGTGACAGACTCTTAGAATTATAAATTCTATTGAAAATCATTAATAAGTTTGTTCAATCAGTACATAAATGTCAACAAAAAGGACAAGCACTAGAAACTTAGCTGTCTTATAGAATTGGGACTTAAATATGAATTAAGAAAAATGACAAATAGAAATAAATGAGGTTTTCAGCTTATTATGAAAGTTATACTATGCTTATTATAGAGGTTAAAAGATTTGAAGTATTTGAAAGTTTAGTAAGTATCTTTGACCAAAAAAGACCTATGCCTGAGGTGATGACCTTTGCTAAACCTAGTTAAGTGGTGAAAAATGTTTAGAAAACTGATGGTGACAATGGACTACTTAACTGAGCCACTAAATGAACTTTTTAAAGGAACAATAACAAGGAATTTGTTGTTGGAATTTTAGCTGACTTCATGTGTTGCAGGTGCCCCTCTCACACAAGGCAGACAAGTTTGCAGACCCAGTGACCGCAGGGCAGCCCGGCCCAGGCCTGCCAGGGTCCTTGCTGAGCTGCCGGGAGGCTCTCCTCCTTGGAAGACTCTTGAGCCCAGGCCAGGCCCTGGCCCTTGGGCTGAGTCGGATTGGGTCTCTGGCTCATCTTTCTGTGGTGAGCCTGGGAGTCAAAAGAAGAGCATTCGTACTGACTGCCTTGAACCCCAGAGGGATCTTGGCAGGGAGGCTTGGGATATAGAACGCACCCCAATGATGTTGAAGAAAAAGAAGAAGAAACCAAAGCAAAAGAGATATGCTCAACCCCAGGTGGGTGGTCAGTGGGAGGACAGCAGTGCAGAAGAGCCTAAGAGTCATTCCTCTGCCACTGGTTCCCATGAGGTTGGTGTCCTCCCCAGCCAGTCTGCTGTGCTGGACCCAGAGTATGGATTTGTTGCCAGAGAAAACATGAGAAGGGAGCATACGCCTGGCTCCAGAGCAGCGAGACCAGGAGGCATAAATTTCACCTCAGAGAGTCTGAGAGCTCCTTGTCCAGAAGACCCTGCAGCAACTGCAGTTGGTACTGAGTCCAAACTAAGAATAAAGGAAGAGCGAAAAGATAGCAGTTCAGTGCCACAGAGCCAAGAAAAACTGCCACAGCATGGTGAATGCAAGTCCAAACCTGCAGTGCTCCTGAAGACTCCTGTGGAGAAAAGCCAGACAGGGAGTCCTCATGGTGTGAAAGGACCCTTGACCAAAGTGCCTGCACACACATTGGCAGCTCCTTCGGAGATCAAACCTGAAGAGAGTGTGACTTGCTCACCTGTCTTGGACCAGAACATTATGGGTACAGTTTTAAAACCTTCATCAATGAAAGAACTCCCTAATTTGACTGCCACTTTGACACATAAGCCAATAGAAAATAGTCTAAAAGAAGGGAAGGATGAAAGTAAAGTGACTAAATTGCAGGATGTCAAGCAGAAGGAATTTTCAGAAGAAGCCAGAGAGGTTAAAGAATCAAAAAAGGAAGTGCTTTCCAAGCCAAAGGAAGAAATCAGTATCTTTGCTTTTGAACAACCATGGGGGCAAGTGTTAGGTCAGGCTCCTGAGCAAGGGAATGAGCCAGTGAAGAGAATGACAGGTGATGGCAGAAGCAAGAAAGGGCGGGGAAGTTCTGGAAGAGTGAGGGTGGGTGCTGGGAAGGGGAGAGCAAAATTGGAGTTTCCTTTGCTAGATGGTGAGGATGGAAGGGCTGTTCTGGGGCCAAGTGAAACTGTCCCTAAGACTGAAAGACTGACTGCAGAAGATAGGAGAGCGGGGCTGGGGCTGAGCACTTCAAAGCTACCAGGGACCTTGACTGGTCTGCCTGAGGCAGGGCTGATGGAGGAGCCCAAGGAGCTGAGCAGCCTGCGGGGAGGAAGTGCCATTCAGGGCCTGAGTCACTTGGAAAATGGGTCAGCCTTGCCTCAGCCTTCTGATGCTAATAGGATAGAGAGCAGAGCCTCAGTCAAAAATACGGGTGTCAGTAATCAGAGCAATCAAGGCAAGTGGTCTTGGGTGGATCATGAGTCCACTCCCTGGATTTCTGAAAAACCCAGAAAGAGAGATAATGAAGGCAAAACCAAAAAGTTTAAAAATAATTACCCCATCCAGATTGCTAGAGGGGAGAACAAGGAGGAAATCCTCAACTCACCTTTTGTGGAGAAAGGTGGAGACAATACTAGTAATATTTCCCTGCAAAACAACGAGTTGCACCTCATTTTCCCCAAAGCACCAGACCCCATGCTCTCACATACATCAGATGTACTCGTGGAAGTAGTTGACAGAAAGGGTAAGAATGTTGAACTTAATTCTGTTGAACCTGTGACTCTTGAGGAGAGCAAAACACACACAATCAAGGAACCAGCTGCCAGGGTGACAGACGTGAGCGCTCCAGACCAGAGTCAAGTGGCAGAAAGTTTTCCCTCTGTACTGTCTGAGGAGATCAAGACTAATGTAGACAAGGGACTCACTGCAGTGGCTGACAAGTCAAATAGCAGGAATAATGTTGGAAAAAATAAAAAAGTTAAAAATAGTTTTCCTGAGAAGCACATTCTGGAGAATAAGATAGATGCAGCAAAAATGCATGTTGCCATGGAAACCTCAGGGAACCACAGAATTGAAGGGATGGGCTATGTGGACGAAAATAGAAATATTACATTTACCTGTCCCAGCACACTGTCAGGGCTGATAAGTAAGTCAGCTACTCCAGAGACTGTGGAATCAGCACCCTGTGAAAAGCTGCCCCCTCTCGCTCCTCCAGTGGTAAAAGGAAAGGATTCCTTACCAGACACCTTGGCAAAAACTGGGCAAGAAATAGCCCCGGTTCCGATTTCCAAATTATTAATACAAGATTGCGGCAAGAAAGATGGAGTCCTAGAACAAGAAAGACCCACAGACACCTCTGCTGTTCCGTCTACTACAAACAGAGCAGGAGTTGCCCCAACTTCCGCAGCAGCCCTAGACACAGTTAACGGTAATGCAGATCCCTGCTGTAAAAACAAAGGTGAGCTTGATGATCCTGTGCAAAAAGAACCAGAGACAGATGAAGGGCGTGTGGCGGGAGAATCGGAGTCAGGGCACCATGATGCCTCTAAGTGCTCAGGACAGCAAACTGCAGAGCCAGCACAATGTCACCTCACTGGAGTACCTGCAGACCAGAACCTGCCAGGAGAGGCCCAAGGTCTCAGAGCAAAGGCAGACTGGGGTGGCTTCCCAGCACATCCAGCGAACCCAGAGCAGGCAGCTGTGAGAGGCTCTGTACCAGCCCAGATTCCTGACTTACTGGGAGACAAAGCACAAAAACTCAACTTCTGTGCGGACCAAAATTTAAAAGACAGAGATTCTAGGGGTTCAGAGAATTTGGAGAAGGAAATACATTTAACTCTTTTGCCTCCAAAAGGTGAAAAAGATAAAACAAAAGAGATTAGTCTGGTTTGTAAAGTTACAGAATTGGAGTGTGGATCCCTGCCAACACCAGAAGTCCATTCCAGTTTCTTATGTGGCAAAGTTGCAGTTCCTCCTGCAGGGACAGATGCCAAGTTAGTAATGACTGCTTCTAAGGGTCTTCAGCTTCCAGAACTCAGTGATAACATTGTAGAAGCACCTCAGAAAATGGCAGAAAGATCTGAACCAAAGACCCTGGCTGAAGGGAGGAAGGAAGATAAAAGCAGAATGGCCGAACCAATGAAAGGCTACATGAGGCCTACCAAGTCCCGAGGACTTACTCCACCTTTGCCAAAGTCTGCGGTCCAGGAACGAGAGAGACCCCGGCAAACTAAGTCCAGTGGTATGAGCCTGCCATGGAAAATGTGTGTGCTTATAGCTTTTGAATCAGCATCCAGAAGGCAAAGCTTGTGCCTTGGTTCCATCCAGACTCTAATCACTCTCGATAATCACTTGTTTGTTGGCATGAAACCTGTAGCTGCTACTTACATGCTTTCTGTGGCCAGGGTGTGCCTCGTGTCCAGCTTGAGAAGGTTGGTGACTTGGATGCATGCCTTTTTCTCAGCACACCAGACCTGGGGTTTTAGGCGAAGTTAATTAGAAACCCTATTACCATCTTCCGTTCTTAATTTTAAAAACAAATTGTGCTTCCTAACGAAGGGGGATATATCTCAATGATAGAGTACTTGCTATCATGTGTGAGGTCCTGCATTCAATTCCTAGCACTCACTGCCAGTAAAAAAGGGCCTCCTATGTGGAAAGTTTACAAAAAATTTTAATTATTTGATGTAAGGATTTACGGTAGGAAAGAAAATACTCATGTCTAACCTAATATGTGAGTTTTTAAATTTTTTTTTTTTTTTTAGTATCTGTGTAGTTACACTGAGGGAGCAAAATGTCTAACTAGCTGTTAGATCGAAAAAAGTTTATCTTCTTCTGTGGGCATGGTAGCCTCAGACCAGCATTGCAGGCACAGACTTCATTTCTAGTAGTGGGAAATCATCTCTCAGTGATGTAGCCACATTCTTTGACCAGGTTACTGCTTACAGCTCCTGGCTAACAGTTGCATTGGCTTATTTTGGGGCATACTCAGTGTCTGTGAAACACAGTCTATAAAACTGATGGTTGTTGGGGTCCTCATAATTTTGCTCTTTTGGACTTTAATCAGTCAAGTAATTAGAAAGAAATTGATATGGGGCATGATGGTGTGTGCCTTTAGTCCCAGCACTGTGGAGGCTGAGGCAGGATTGCTGGGTGTTGAAGGCCAGCCTGCACTATATATACAGCAAGACTGTAAGCAGGTGGGTTACGTAGATAGGTAAGTAGGTAGATAGGTAGGTAGGTAGGTAGGTAGGTAGGTAGGTAGGTAGGTAGGTAGATAGATCATTTAAAATTTAGAAATAGTCTTTTTCTTGCCCTGAAAAGCAATAATGACTTAGAATAATGACTTTCCTGAGCCTAACGACTTCCCTGAGCCTAACCTTCAGAACTTGTTTCTTTGCCTTTGAGGTTTTCACAGTCTACAAAAGATGCTGTCTCTTAATCACAGCTTCCCAGCATGCATGATACAGCTGCTAATTAGAAATTTAAAAACCAAAAGCACTGTGGTGAATCTTAGTAGCCGGTCTGGTTTCTGCAGAGGCTTTGCTGTGATAGTGTGTTCTGCATGGTGTGGGCCTGTTCTTGGGGGTAGGTGGGGCTATGCATGAATCTGTACCCAGTTCAGAATACTTGCTATGAGTGAAACATGCTAACCATGGTTATTTTCATATGATAGTCTCATAATTTCTGCTTCCCCCCGCTTTCCTGTAGCTACACTTATCACCAAGGCAGAAAGTCATACAGTCATGTTTAGAGGACCTTCTAGCATCCTGTCCAGATCTTTAATTTGGATTTCTAAACCCTCTCTTTAGTTTCTAAAATGACATGTAAATTTCATGAAACCATAGCCTGTATTTCCAAAGAAACATTTTTGTTTTCCTTTGCTGTTTTGGTTGGTTTTTGTTTGTTCCTTGGTTTGCAGCACTGGGGATTGAACTGAGGGTCTTAGCCCTGACCCAGCCTTTTTTAATTTTGAGGTGGGGTCTTGCCAAATCTCCAAGTTGCCCAAGCTGAGCTCCAGCCTGCAGTCCTCCTGTTCCTGTCTTCCAAAGTGCTAGGATTGTAGGGCTGCCTTTGTTGTTGAGAAGCAGGTAGATGCTGCAGAGGTCGCAGGCCCTGTGGTGGGCACGCCAGCTCGGGGTTGGGGGTGTGCTGGGAGTGGCCTTTAAGAGTATTGAGGGAGGGAGAGAGGGACAGAGTGAGCCTTAGATAGGGTGTATTCTCTAGGACACCTATTCCCTATAGACATTGCATACTTTTCTTTAAAAAACAAAACCAATACCAAAAAAGAATTTTGCTGTGATTCAGGCTGGCTTTTTACTCACTGTAGCCTAGGGAGCCTTTACCCTTCATTGTCCAAGAAGTGGTATTGTATGTCCAACAACATTCTACACTTTTTTAGGCAATAACTTTGCTATGAGTTCAAAGCCAGTCTGGGCTACATAGTAAGACCCTATATCAAAATAAATTAATTAAAAAAAATAAACTATCCCAGGTCCAGGTTGAATTTTCCTCTTGAGCAACACAATGCTGTTCACACTTACAAGTGTGAGCCTGTCACTGTACGGTGAAGCTGTGCACTCTTAGCATAGCTTATTCCAGGGTGTCCAGGAACAGGCACAGGTGCTGGGCTCCAGGCAAGCAATGGCTCCAAGGCAGGCACTAGTGTCTGTCATCCATTACTGGTAGTAGACTGGCCTTAGTAAATGTCACCTTCCTCCTCTCTAAATCATTAGTGGTTACTGTCCTTCCATATGCTGCTGACTCTTCCATGTTTGTTCTATCCTCGTTTGTCCTGTGGTCAGATGTCCCCCATAATTTTCAGTATATCATCAGTAGAGATATTAGTGATATGAAGAGAAATAATAACACCATTTGTTGAGTGAAGATCATGACTGTTAACTATAGATGGATAGGAGATAAGATTAGCTTCTCTGTTATCTCTGGTGCATGCATAGGAGTACACACAAACATGCACATACACTAAGACTATAAAAGAGTCTTTCCATTTTACAGGTGAGAACATGGGCACTATCAGGATTAATGCTGGGCCAGGGACAAGCTCAGCACAGTGCCTCCCTGGCTAGGGCAAGCTTCTCAGTTTGATTCCTGGTACAAAAGGGTGGGGAATATATATCAAGATTAATAATGGTGCAGTTAATGATATAGCTGAGCTAGACTTTGTATTTGGCACAGAGTCTCGCTATGCAGCTCAGACTGGTAGTGATCCTCCTGTTTTCATCCTCTCCAGAGCTGGATTACAGGTATGCGCCACCACACCCGGTCTTGGTGGCCTGCTCAGGGCTCTGCGGTGGGGGGAGGGGGGCAGCAAGGCCTATGGTGCCAGGGATTGAACCCCGGTCACTGTGCTTGCCCAACCAGGTGCTTAGTCTGCTGAGCTATCTCACCAGCCCTTGAGCTAGACTTTGAACAAAAGTCTCTTAATATAAAGGCTTGTGCTTTCTTCATCATTCCTATTGAATAACTCTCCACAAGTTTCAGATACTTTTAAAGGAAAAGATGAGCACTGGCAGTTAGTCACTGTGTATTTTTATTTTAATTTCTAGGTATCAGGTAAGCTCTTTTCCAGCTGGAAATGTAAAGCTACATGATGAGGGCTTAAATTGTGAAACAGATGAATTCAGGATTAGTGTCTAGGTCACTTAGAATTTGTGGTGGGTTCTGTGTCACTGTTCATGTTCAGCAAAAATTTTACATGTATTTGATGCCTAAACACAGGATTTTAATTATAAATTAATAACCTTCTTTGGTTTTTAACCTGTTTTGAAGGAGGAAAAATGGGTATATAGTTCTAATTGCTGCCAGCTACAATTTTTTTCTCTTCTTTGTCAGGCCACTCTGAAATTTAGGGGAAACTTCAGAAGGCTTCTTCACATACCATGTACATTGTTCTAGGCAAGAAAGATTTGCAGAACACTGAGGAATCTTGAGCTCAAGCTGTCAGAAAAGCTCTTTCCCGGTATGCTGGCACACCCCTGTGATCCCAGCACTTGGAGGCTGATGGCAGGAGGATCACAGTGAGTTTGAAGGCTGCCTGGGCTCCTTAATGAGTTTAAGGCCAGCCTGCGCTATGTAGTGACACCCTGTCTCAAAAAGAAATGAAAAACCTTGTGGATAAGATGCATAGTTTAAAAGGATATTCCATATTGGATTCTAGTATCTGCTCTATGTTAGCTGTAGTCCTGAAAACCAAGTGAATGACAGGGTGTACAGAGTCTCATTACCAGGGACAAGATGGTAGAGAGGCGTTTTCTTTGTCATCCTGAAGCCTGGTCTCCCTTTTTATCTGGCTTCATTTCTGGTTCTTCAGTTTCCTTCAGCTCATCAACTGTCTTCCAGCAGCTGGGAATGTCAGTTTATGGTGGGAAATTCTCTTGGTGTGAAACTTGAAGTAATTTATAAACTGAGAATCCTAACAGTTTCAAATTGCCTTGTACATAAATAAAATATGCTCAGCAAAGGAAAAAATCATTTGTAATCTTAGAACTTGCTACTATTTTACAACTGGAGAAGTACCCGCTTGCTACTCTTTCTCCTTAGCTATAGTGCCCTTGGGAAGCGCCTTCTCTCATTGCTGCTCTCACCCTCTGTGGCTCTTTTCTTACCAGCACAACAATTAAATTTAACTGGGAATCTGTGTGATACACAGCTAAGATAGCTGTTGTTTTATTGAAACTTACTATTTGTCCTACACTATCCTAAACTCGTGTGTCTGTGGATGTGGTACTGGGGATTGAACTCAGGGCCTGGACATCAAGGTACCCAAGCCCTGTTTTTTTGTTGCTGCATTGTTGTTTTTTTTGAGACAGGGTTTTTCTATGCAGTTCAGGCTGCCCTTAAACTCACTTTCTAGCCCAGGCTGTTCTCTCAGCAATCCTCCTGTCTCAGCCTCTCCTGTGATAGGATTACAGGTGTGTGTCACTGTCTTATTCATTTGAGACATACTTGGTTTTCATTCTGTGGGTTTCCTTCCCAGATTTTGAAAATTAATCAGGGAGCATCATGATTTCTTTTTTCTTTTTCTTTTTTGGCTGGCTGTGGTGCCAGGGATTGAACCGCAATCCCCTGCAGCTATCTAAGCTTGCCTAAGCAGGCACTTTAGACCACTGAGCTATCTCACTGACTCAATGATTTCTTGTTAAACAAGTGCTAAGAAATCTTTCTAAACTTTAGTAGAAGGGTTGGCCAAGTAGCTCAGCGAATGGGGCTTGGGATTCGATC